AATGACGATTAAATCTTTTAATTTATTTCTGATCATTTGTTTCTTAAACTGTGGATATGGAATGAAAATTAAAACTGAATAAATGAAATCTACTCAAATCTTCCAATTTTAAGTTAAATACTAGAGTATAATACTTTACAAGAAGTGAAGCAACAAACGATGTTTCTTTAGAATTCATATATTTCGTTAGTATTATTCAATTATTATTTTGAATTTTATTGTTTGAAACAGATGAACCGTACTAAATAACAACATAAGTATCCTGAGGTATTCCGTATGAGAATATCGTTATTATCATTGTTAGTTTAGTAGTGATCATCCTACAATCGTTGATATTTCTTAACTTCATATCACGTGCTGAATGTTTGATCGTTTGACCAGACTAGAACGAAATAACTTCTTCTAGGCCCTCTATTGTTCTCCATGTGAAGTCAGTAAGTAAAAAAACTAAAAAAGATATGGTTATTTAGATGTCGTTTACGAGGTATATGACATTATAAAAAGAATTAAATCTTGATATTCCTTCGAGATATATTTAGTACAGTGATATTTTTCGATTATTGTAAGTTACATTGATCTTTCATAACTTCCTAACCATATATTATTCTCTTTTCTATAGAAAAGTGATGTCATTGAAATTGTAAAAAAAGGTAGTTATTATATTTATATTCATTACAGAATTGATTACATGGAATCCAGTAGAATATTCTCATATTTTCGATAAATGTGTTTCCTAATTTCAATTGATGTATTCAAGTTTACTCAGTTTTGTTTAGTTTCCAAACGATAATACAAATTTCGGGTATCATAATCCTTGAGAATTACTGAGCATTTTTTTGTTGTTGTTACAAATAATCAACTTTTTGTACAAATGATTTGTAGTTCTAAATATGTAGATCAACGTATCATATTTCCTTTTAATGATAATGGTATATCTATTCAGATTGGTTCTCACTTAGGAAATCCCATACTAAACATCATTTAAAATTAATATTACTTATCTTTGTGACAATTATATAGGCTAGAAAACTTATTTAAGATTTTAATCGAATAGCTTAATTAGATCACACTTGGTTTGAATAATATTGGATGAATACAAGAAATATTTCTATGTTTCTAGAATAAAACTAAACTCAGACAGTCTACACAGAACCATTTTCTCATGTGTTTTTTTTAACAAAAGTCTTTGTAAACTCACTTACAAATTCATGTAGAGAATCATTTTTTTTCAAAATCCCTTATCTAGAAGCATTTTTTGGAGATAAAGTTAAAAATCAAGTGTTTTTCTTGATGGAACTTCAGTAAAAATGGTCTGTAACTTCTAGAATGGTCATTCACAATGTGTTAAAATTTCACATACATAATGTACACTTAATATACTAAAGAACACGATTTTTCAAATGAAAGAAAAATTAAAAAGCTGACCATACAACTGACTCCTTTGAAAAAGTTTGTTGTGTAAATAATCCAATTGAATGTTTTTATTAACTGTAGTTCAATTTCAACATTTCTGGTTATCATTAGCTTCCTATCAGTCATAAAATTATTGTGAACGATGAAATTCGCATTTATTCAAGATTATCTGTTACTATTTCCCATAATTCGGAAGAGTTGGATTTGATTTTATAACTTATCTAATAAAATAAAGAAAATTTCCTATTTTTATTGTAACATTTAGAGTGTATGTAGTTCATGAACCTGGGGATTAAACATTCAGGATCGAATCTCACAGTACAGGAGTCAGTAAATAGTTGTTAAACTCTCTTTAATCCACTAATACCCCATATCATTAAATTGCTACTAACTTACAGAAATACACGTCCTGAATATCATTAAAAAAACCCCGAAAATTACTAAATCTAAAGTAACAGTTATTACAAGCTTAAAATGTTGATTACTATTTAAACTTTACTTTTATACTTCATCAAATAGAAATACCTTCTGAGGGAATAAATGAACTTTATCTTATTTTCACAAGTTTATTCTCATCTAGAGTATTAATCGTTTGAATTTACGGGTTCAACAATAAGTTATCTCTTCTTATAAGAAATTATTTCGGTTTTTATTCTATATTATCCGTTCAAATATCAGTGACGGCAAACACTTAAACTATGAATTTATCATTATCACCAAAATTCTTGTAATAATTCAGATGTTTTAATCTAAATTGTTGAACAGGGTTTAGGGCGGGGCTATATAAATATAGTCAATTGTTTAAGACTTGAATTTCTTATGATATACAGAGAAAATTATGTTTTGCAGAATCAATTCATATTGTGACATACAAGGAGCATAGATGAATTTGCCTTGTTTACACATATAAGATAGCATCCGGATAATTCAGAATAAGCTGGAAAAACTGACTGCCTGTTGCTATAGTAATAGACAATAAGGTCACTATTATATGTTCACTTGTTTTGTTTACTAGTAATATGTATATATATATATATATATTAACTATATTCACTTATAATTTTATCATTGTTAAGTCGGAATACAATGTTCTATTATATTATGAGTTTTAAATAAATATATTACTGAAGTTGAGAGTTTATCATTATATATCCATAAGTAATTGTTTATTGTATTCAATTTTTACAGAGTATAATCAAATAAATGACACGTGAATAATAACTATAGGTGAATATCTTAAACATTAAGTTAATCTACAAAAACACATGTTTACTTTATTAACATGAGTAAATAACTAGCTATTATTATTTATTTTGTATTTTATGTGTAGAAAAATTAAACAATACAAATTACAGATATTCATTGTTTAACTAATGCAATTGTTTTAATTAAATAAAAGTAACACTACTATGATGCTACTTTTCAATTAATCTACTTCAGTATTAGGTCATAGTAATAATTCTTATTAATTTAAGAATTTATTTGAGGAAATGAATAAAATGAGAATATGCTTCAGCATATTTTGTTAGATTATATTATGAAGTTAATTTTTAAACTGATAGAGGCATATAAGTATTCTGAAATAGATACAACCAACCAAGCTGAATGAATGTTGATAAAATTTCTTTTTAAAAAAAAAAAGAACCAACCGTCATCAGTGACCTATTTGAACATTTAAAATTATCAGGTTTCACTATCCGACCGTTTTATGATTTCCCAAAGTTTAATAATATATGCTCCTCTTCGACTTATAATTGAAGTTAATAACTTCTCATACCAAACTCTTAAATTATTTGTGGAAATTCTACAACCAGTCATATATTAGATAAGTCGACATAGAGTTTCTGATCCCTATGATTTCGCTTATTGAATACCCGAAATCAACCTATTAGGAAAGAAAATGATATCATTAGATTTTGCTTTTCTCTTTATAATGTTCCTCTCACACATACAATCTGCTCCTTGTGTATTTATATTTAAAATAACATAACCCGAATCGGTACTACAAAACATTGCATAAAAAAATACTACGATGCACTTCAACATTCAATTCAGATTTAACTATTACTTATATGAGCAGATTGATTGAGATAAAATAGACTCACTGCTGAGTATGAGTATCGTGATCATTCTGGAGAACAGTCCTTTGAACAACAATACAAGAATTGTATGAACAACACCTCCATCATGTGGCGAGAATATGGATGTTAATAACACCCTATATCAGTTCAATAGTTGCTAACACCACAATAAAATCGGAGGTAAAATATGAATTTCATTTTCTTAATGTTTTTCTGTAGGAATGACCAGAGCGCTTTCTACGAAGATCAGTATACAGAAAGTCAACGTGTAACAGACAGTATACAAGCTTTCGAAGTTGGGTGTTACTAGGCGACCAGAGCTTAATCAATTTCCTACCTTTGAAGCCTCACTGAGATGATGAGTAAAATCCGATGAAAAACAAGTGAGTGGGTTTCCAAGCCAGAGACATCTAGTGTAAAACTAAAATAGCAACTCGGAAATACTCTAACAGTACTAAAGATTTTGTTCGTGAACATCTATTCTGAAAAGAAATCTTAAAGATAGTTTCTATTCGGCTTCGATTTGTTTTCTTTATCAGGTACTTCATTTTGAGAGACGTTAACGACAAACAGCTGCTTTTGAAAGCCTTAAGCCTAATTTATTTGTTTACCTGTTCTTGTGATTGTCATTAGTCGAACGACGAGTAAACTCGTTAAACAAATGTTACAATACTACTCTTCACTTCGATCTTAAGATGGATGCTAGTCGGCAATAGCTCAAACGTTGAACATATGATCAGCACTGATCGCGTCTAGGCACTGGAATCATCTTTTAGGATCGTCTTGTGGGAACTTTGTCCTAATTTATGGACAGGTTGATCATTTCACTTATTTCCGTTATTCTGCATGACTATCTTTTTGGGCTTTGTCAGAACGGTATGAGAAAATCGCTTTGTTGTCAAGCTTATAATTACAGTCGCATTGGTTACTTTGTTCTCCCTCTTATAAATAATTGTAAATTCTTATCTGTGTACACATATGCGTTTATGAATGTCTATGCATGTTTTTCTGACGGATTTGTCACGCTCAAGATGGATTTTTGATTCACGACATTTTGTATATACATATGTATACAATTGACTTTGATTTCATTCATACATGCATTTGTCCGTTGCCTGTTTGATCACTTGGCTAGATACAAGGATGCTAGAGATAAACTTTACTTAACAATACTTAGTTTCATGACTTAATTAACATTACACCGGAGGCAAACGTAATCTTAATTATGGGACGAAATTAATCCGGATAGTTTGGTAATAAGGACATCGTACGCCAATAGTAACACTATTCATTACTTACAGGATTAGGTAATCATGTTATCTAAATAAAATTTATAATTTAAGTTCAAATCAAAAATTTCACTCATTCATTCATTATTATTATTAGTATAGAAGGTATACCAAATAATGATTTAATGAACTGTTAATGACCTACTGGTAATCTTAATTCATAAACGACTAACAATTATACCTCTTTAGATGTATAACTAACATCAGAAAGTGAATGTATAGAGCAATATTTATTTACACAATTAAAACAAAATATTTTATAATACTTTCATTAGGATAATAAAGTCATAAGTGCTTCAACTTTGGACACCAAACTTTTTCCATACATACGAGAAAGAAATACTTCACGAAAGTCTTGATTTGAAAATATATCTTTATGATCGGTAGTAAATTGGTAGTCGCATGGACTACAACGAGAAACAAACATTCGAATATCCATGACAGCGCTTGCACGTAAACAAATTAAACTAAAAAGGTGTGGAGAAACATAAAAAGAAACTTAACAACAAATTAAAACCAATACATTTCCCGATAAACAGGTGTTTGATTAAAAAAAAATGTAACACCCAAAATCAACACGACGAAAGAGCATGAGAAATACAAGTAAATAAAAGAGATTCAAGTAATCCTTTTGAAGAAACAAATATATGCCAGTAATACATACTGTATGGGCTTTAGGATTACTATCAATAAATATTTCAGAATATACTTTTAAATATTATTTCCTCCCGTATTAGCAACGGAATCTAGGATGTGCGTTTCGTCCAGCCTGCATTTTATCCTGGTTTCTGTTAGTATTTTATGGGACTCATCTACCAAATTACAAAACACTGAGGTGTTATCCATGACATTTTAGAATAGCAATAAGTAACTCTCTTCAAGCAGGAACTCGTTTATTCTGTATGGGATATATTAGGACAAACACAACAATTGGAATGATCTTCAAACGAATCAATCTGTTTTTTTTTAGGAAATGTAAATAGCAGGAAATATTTTTACTAGTATTAGTGTAATAATAAAATAACTTACTTGAAAGCTTTAAAATGTAAGCGATTTGAAGTAAAACATCATTTAGAATCCTCAAGATCTTTAGAATTATTCTAGCAAGGGATATTATTTACACGACGTAAATAACACCAGAAAATGACTAATAACTAGGTTCAGTAAGAGTTCATTTTTAGAATGTTTGTTTAGACTTCAAACAATTTGGTGTTTTTCTAAATTATTCAGTGTCACTCATTTACCAAGTACACGCTAACGTACTCTGTATGGAGCTAGATGCATTTTGTGTGCTGGTTAGTGATAATATCATTTTCCCATGCCGAAGTACGTGAAAAGGATTTCAGACCTAAGACTTACTGGTTTAAAACCAATTGCCATAAACACTGAACCACCGCTCCACATAATCTTGTGAGACATTATCCCTGGAGTATTTAAGATTAACATTCTATTTTTAATCGTTCTTAAATTTTAATCCTTTTGTACACAAGTGCTAACTTTAGTTCCTTGTTTGAAATTAATTTTAACGACCATCGTACTGTAATTTCAAAAAATGAAAAGTATGATCTAACAAAAGTGTCACTTAGGTTCTGATAGTTAGTATGTGTATGAACTAAAACTATCCAACCGACTAGTATAAACATAAACTTGACTATTCAAGCCTATATTATTACTCAGCTTTGTTTAGATAATCAAAGGACTGAGGCTATTTACAGTCTCAAGTAAAAAGGTACATATATTTAACGAGGCTATTAAGTTTTGTACACATGTTGCTAATGTCGAAACAGAAAAAATGGTAAATAACACTTTAAAAGTAGTGGTATAATGGCGGGTGTTTCATTGTTATCATGTAACGACTTATTACCACCGTATAAAGCAACTGACAGGAACCATGGTTTTATTAAATAGTAACCTTAAGGAACTGAAATCAAATTCTGTGACTAGAAATATATCTTAACAGTAAAGAAATATGTATTGAGTATTTCATCTCTAAAATTAGATATACTTAACAGCTGTTCACACCTAACGTTCTGTCATCTGATATTGAATAACAGTACCTATCGACAGTGTAATATTACAGTTCGTTCCACTTCAAAATACACAAAACTGTCTAGGTAGTGCTCACAATTATTTATGAACTAAATATAATCCTACTCGATTCAGATAAATTATGTAATAGATGCATCAATATTGAGTATCAGTTTCGCTAAATTTACCAATAAACTTCAGATCACTCACACATTACTATTAGGATTGGACTAGTTCACATAATGATCATATGTAAGTAAATTGTAACAACAAAATAATCGTGTGGAAAGGATATTAACAGTAATATTTATGAAACACAAAAGAAAAAGATTGGTATACGAAATATCAGCTTACTGTTTAGCAGAAGGAGATGCAAACATTTTTACTATCACTGGACCATCACCGATTTCTTCAGGATTGGCTACTGCTGAAAATGGATTATTCCCTAGTCGAACCCAACCCAAAATTTTTATAGCCAATATATCTATATAATTCATTTGTGTATACAATACCTGAAGTTGAAGATCAGTGGAAAGGAAATCTAAGTGGAAGATATTTATTTGTTAATACTATGTAATAAATTTGAAAACAAGAATATGCTAAGTTAAGATAAATACTACATGATATTTGGTCGTTAATTTTGCTAGTTATAAATAGGCACTAAAGCCTTTTTATATTATGATGAATAAGGTTTTTAGAGCATAACAAACAATTAAGAGTTAATTATTTATAAAAAATAAATAAAAACAAACATAATTCAAGATTTCAAAATTTATATTTGATATCTAAACTATTTTACAGCAGGTTTTGTGGGTTGGATGACTTGACCATGCACTTATTCTTAATTTTGCTCGGTTAATTTCTACTCTTTTTTCTAGCCAGTTTGTAGCTTGTAACAAAGTGGGTTAACTGAGCATACTGATACATACACTCACCAATATCACCTTAAGAGATAGGAAGGATAATATCATTATTCAAGACAATGTACTCAAAAACCAAAAATATACTCAAGAATTTATTTATAAACCTTATCTACTAATCTAAATGAATTTTCCAAAGCGTGTATATCGTGTGAAAATGACAACTACTTGCAAGTATTATCAACATCTTACAACAGACTAATCTAAAGCATTCGCTTATTTATAACACATTCGGTTATATACAGTAAGACATGCGTTACATAAAAAGAAAATGATAATATTATCAGGAAATAGAAGGAGTCGTACAATCAACAAATAAGTGAACAAGATTGGTAGTTACTAAGTGAAACAGCTCATGCAAAAATGCATCCACGAAACATTTTTTCACTTAAGAAGATTCACTTTAAGAAGAACGCAAGAGAAAATTATGACAGGATTGGAAATAGCTCATATTCTGAGAAATCTCTAATATCTCAGGTCGCAGCATGGATGATCTCTAAAACTCAGGCCCGAAAGTCACGATGGACATATAGATATCAGTAATATACGAGTGTCTGTTGCCACAGTGCGATACTATACACTCATTTCTCAATGTTTTCAACTCAGTACTAGAATTATGTGGAAACCACTGAGATGGCATTCATAGAAATGTCCGAGACACCAGAGTCGATGTTTCAATATGATGTAAAATGAATCATCATCGCTGTGCTCAGATACGCATCGATGGAACTAACCATTACTAATATGATGTTGGCACTGGATATCAGCAGTCCATGAGAGATAATGATGACTGAATACAGGTGTGTGTTGAGTCGGCTTTCCCAGAACTTCAACGGAGTCTCCAGAGGCCCTAAAGGAGCCGAAGAGTCCTAGCCAATCTCAGCATGATGGAGCTTTCTAGAATATCAACGTGGCGTGCTACTATTGGTCAGTAGCATAATATGTCTTTTAGCGGATTGGCCAAAATATGATGTTAATTTAACAAATGTTAACATCTATAAATACCCGTGTTTTTCTGTACAAAATTGAACCTTTAAAGTAAAGTGTTTTTCGCTTATTTTGCGCCTTTTTTCTCGAGTTCAGGTCGCTGAGTAGTTCTAGCTTGCGGGTTACCAGAATAGCTTAGAAACCGAATAAAGCATTCAAATTAACAAGACTTATAGGTATGTAGATCATCCTTAGCTCGGAGAGGACAAATTTGACACGTACATAATAGAACTAGGGTCACAAACGTGTTGTTTAGTCAACCTACCCAGATACATGAATTTTTCAACTAAATCAAATAGCTTAAATGAAGTCAGGATATTTTTAGTCTTGTAACAGTACTTTGTACTTCAGAGATGCCATAGAAAATTTATTCTTTGGAGAACTGGTTTACACTTAGCCACGAAACTTCAAGTTTTTATTCTATACTCATTGGGATTTTGTAAATATATCATTATTTTTATAATTAACAATTAGCACTATGCCTTAGTAGTTGAACAGTTATTATCAGAAACATTAAATAATGATTCTTGGATACGGTTTATAATATTACGTAAGTGCAGGATTGAAATGAACTACAAAATCAAATAGTACAACCTCAATAACAGATTCACTGTACAAGGACTATAATTTTTTAAATAAACATACCTGATTGCTCAAAACATCTTTGAGTCTGTTTAGATCCATACCTAAACGATATGTTCTAGGAGGGTCTGCATACAACACCACAAGACCATTAGGTGTAATTGTTACACCTAACCACGAACGATAGGCATCATAATCTGTACAGTAAAAACACAATCTGACTGACGTTTCAGTAGCAGAATTAAAAGTATCCCAATGAGCAATAATCTTAATAGGAGAACATTGAGAAAGTTCGGATATGATGGAGTATACTCTGGAAGTGAAATCAAATTGAGAAGTAAAAAGCTAGAAAAACTAATTCAAACACAATAATTAATACATGATACTTCATAGTCATCGGCGTGATGCATAGTCTCAAAATTAGAAGTATCGAAGTTAGGTTTGACGTTTTACTCAAAAGAAGTTAGTTGTTAAAGTTTAAGACTTGCACTGAGTTGACGAAACTACATATTTGATGTTGACAGAAATGATTAAGAAGAAGAAGAATATTAACAGTTAATTGTTAAGTATCGTATGAACAATAGACCTGAGAATAAGCTTCAGTCAATACATAACTTCGAAGCAAACAAGGACCCTTCGATTATATATGCATAACAAATTAAGGATTGTTCAAGATTATCAGACAATGTAACTCATTACATTCTAAACAAACCACGAGTACATATAGCACAATGCAAAAATAACCAGAAAAATTGTCTTCAAAACTCAGTTGAAATAGGTTCTTACATAAACTAAGGAAATTAAAAGATACTTCACTTAAGAAAGTTTTTCCTCGAAATTCTATCTATTTTAAATGGACATGACTTCGAAGGAATGATGTTCCGCATTAGTCAGAAAACCACAACTGATTTACTTATTCTGGGAATAATACCCATGAGCATCCGCAATTTTATTAGTTGTACTTTATTCGTTGACTGGAAACTAGCTACCTTCCTTTTTGATTGCTGTAATTGTTCTTCGTTCAGTCATACTGCAGTGGTTAATTTTCTCTTTATCTATGTGTTCACTGTTGGCTGTGCCCCCCCCCTGGGTACATATATATATATATAAATATAAATAAATAAATAAATAAATATATATATATATAATCTTCCAAGACGCTAAGACTGTCTTTTGACTTAGACCATGCAATTTAAGTAAACTTAGTAGACCTAACAGATTTCCTTTCACCTTTTAGACAAGGTGTCCATGACTTTAGAACTAGGAGAATAAAACTATTGTTGCAAAATAAAGCAGTAAAACAAGTCAAAATATACATAAACTTACTGATCTCGAAGATAGTGATGACGAGATATGGCAATGGTTCGACTAAGTAAAGACGGATTCGTACCAAGAACGGTTTTCATTGTGTCTTCATCAACTCCTCGAGATAACAGGGTATATTCCAGCATAGCGATGTCACTTGTGCCAGGGACTGAATCATCAGCAGAGTTTGGTACCCCGTGACGAAACCCAACTGATGGAACACAGGCTCCACCTGGGAGTGAGTGTCCCCATTCTGTGAAGAGCGACAAGCGATCTTGACCAGAGAAGATGGGTTGGGAGCGCTGGTTAAAGGTGTTTGTTTTCTCAGCACTATTTGAGTTAGTCCGATTAGTAGCGTGAATAACACACAAAGCAGAAGCAGCTTGAGAAGCAAAACCAGAAACACTAGCGACAGCGACAGAAAATCCAGAGAACTTCGTGCTATATGGTAGTGATGAGAATTTCGAAGCATGTAATCCATTTGCACCACCTGAACGATAGTTTAAAGGAATCTCTACAGGGCCACATGTAGGCTGTGGCAAACTGGCAAGATTCGGCCACACTGCACGATGCTGACCTGCTAACATACGATGTAGTTGCAAGTTTATGCAATTTGAATAGTCCATAGTAGATACTGTATGATCCGATTTTTTATCTTGCAATTTTGGTCTTTCGTCACCCAATACATCTTCACCAAAAACCGTAGGTCTAACAGCGAACGACAGACATATTTGTACTCCCGGAAATAATGTAGCTATGATCTTATCCTATAGAAGTAAGCATAAAACAACAAGCAGGATTCACTTATAAACAATTTTATACTAGTTATTTACCTTCAATCTCATAATATAGAGATGACACCTTTTGAAGGATAGGTGTCATTATTTTTAGTTTTCTACAGATTTGGCTTTATTTACAACTGATATCCTATTAGAATTTGAGATATACTAAGTTACAGATTTATTAGTTTTTGAAACAGAATTATGGTCTGCTAACATTAGCTTTCAAATATTGAATTACGGGTTTCGAAATATCTCTTATTACAGTTTTCACAATCCACAACAACTTAGCACATAAAATTGTACTTCGCAGTAAAGCCACATCCATTTATCTATTTAACTCGTGGTACCAAAACTAATTATCTATTAAAATTTGGAAACAAATCAAATTTTCTACCTCGTTCATTTTATATTATGGTTGAATATAAAGAAACACGACTGTGGTTTGACTGTGAACAAAAATGTCACAGATACTAAACATATGACGTCATCAAAAACTACTTTTGACTATCTTAAAGGATTCATGTTGGGTAATATTAAGAAGTTATCAGCATAAATCTTTCATTAAAAAAATGTGATGTATAGACTAGGAATCACACATACTGTAGAACACGTAGGGAAAAAATATTAACGTGTAAAATATCATATCTAATTTATATTTAGAATATGTTGGCTACGTCTACGACCTATAGATTCGTCCAAATTATCATACGTATCGTGGTCAGGACTAAACATTTAATGAAAGCACTTTTCGCAGTTGATTCTTTGTAATGACTGTACAAAAAAAGTGTCTGCTCAAGAGTGGATTTGCAGAGAAACTTAAGGGTCTGAACGCAGACTCGAGAAATAATTAAAACCGCCATCTAACCACGTTGTTATGAACCAAACGTACGGACAACTAAGATTATCTTATTTAGTCATTTCCTTCCCACTTTTATCGATGATGAAGCTCAGAGAAGTACATGATGAGATGGCGAATATTGGGTACGTGGATAGAGAATTCTTGACTGATAATAAAAATAAACGGCAATCAGTGTTATAGTATGAAATAGAAGCGAACCAGGTTACTTGGATGGATTTATAGAAAAAGCATCATATAATGACATAAGACATAAATGAAGCTAAGATTGGTTGTGTTTTAGCGTTCATTTATCTTGTACATGAGAAGTCAAATGATACTGTACTCGAACTAAAATGATATCGACCAGCTTCCATAAATATTATGATTCGTAACCAAACTTTGCTTTATGGCCCATAGATTTTTCTAAAACCATTTTAACTTACTATCAATAACAAGGGAAATAAAAGTGTTAAAAACTAACCTGAGTGGCAAAAGCGACAGAACCAGTTAAATGATTATATTCTTTTGAAGTACTTGCTTCACAACTAAGCAAAGATAAAATCTCTCGACATGCTAATAATCTCTGAGCTTTGAAAAGTTTTTGTCTTTGATTAATAGGTAACGGATCTCTAGAACATGAAGATATTTGTTGTTTATGAAATATGAACTCTAACAAAGGTGTGGGTAGTGAATTAATATCCGATTCAAGGAATTCAACATTTAATAAACCAGGTCCATGAGATAAATTTAAAAGAGCTTCCATAGACTGTGAAAAAATGATCTATTAAAATTAAATGATAAAATGATAAAATAAATAAACGAGTATTATTATTGAATTAAATTTCAGTAACAAATAATAGAAGTGAAAATAATGAATTGTAACACCGAAAAAAAAAATTACTGCATCTATATCGGACTTTTATAGTTAATCATTGTTATTTATATTTTCGATTAGTTTTTCATCTTGATCTTCTTACACTAATATAAATGTTTAACAATAATAAAATTAATAACAATATAATGGCATTGTGTTGATGAAACTATTAATCAAGTAATTAAAAAAAAAATTACAAATGGATAAAGTAATCACTATGCAAAGATATTTATTGGTTAAATATATAAATTGAAATATTTAGTTATAGAATAGGATTATTAAATGATATCTGTTAAAGAGAGTTAACAAACATTTTGATAAAATTCGAATATTAACAGTAGTTAAATAAGGGTGGAGAGGGAGATCTTACGGTTATGCAGGAGTAAATATCCAAAACAAAAATTGCGAACATTTTCAAAAACAAACGGGAAGTAATAAGTCATTTGTAACCAGCTGTAGTAACAGTAGTCCTGATGGCCAAGAAAAAGGTTGTACAAATTTCTTGTAAATACAGAAAACATATTTGATTAGATGAATGTCTTCAGCTGCATCCGACAAACGAGTAAACGATGCCGCAAATTTACTGGAATGCAATCGGTCAGTCATAAACAACATCGGATCAGGCATATATATGCATCGGTCCAAGTTGTCGTACCAGATTAGCACAAAAAATTAAACATTAAATTCACAGAAACTGTTACTTCAATCGTGATAAAAAGGATTGCATATAAGGATATGATACACGGCGAAAGGAATAGTTCGTAGAAAGAAAGGCATAGAGTAGTTTTAATCTCACGGTTTAAGGGAAGACAAGGAGTGTATACACCGACACCATTGTGATCCATTCCGAGCAATGTAATCCAGAGTCTCTAACAATTGGTTACAACAGTTGTGTGGACCTCAACCAAGTAGTCTGCATCTACCAACATGGCTCAGACCAGGAGTTAATGACTTTATGAACTGATGCCACGTTTTAGTTTAGCCGCCCCTAACTGCCTTACAACCGTCTTCAACATTAGTCAGCACTGCACGTCGTGGTAACCGATGTCCAAACATACGTAAAACGTGACCCAACTATCTCAGTCGATGAAGATTTACAACCTCACAATTACTCACCTGGCGATCCCAACAGATGCTGGCAATATTTCTAAGACATCTGTGATCAAATACTAGTAACTTACAAATATCCTCTACTCTTAATGGTCATGTTTCACAGACGTAAACTAGACCAGAACGAACTGCCGCGCAATATACTCGTCCCTTAATTGATATACGGATATCTCGCATTCGCCATAGGTCACGTAACTTGGCAAAATCCAGACGAGATTTTTGAACCCATGCAGAGATTTCGTCAGACACCAACACACTATGGCTGATCAGACTTCCAAGATAAGTAAAGTTGTCGACGCGTTCGACTACTTCACTCCATATCCTTAGTTCAGGTGTTGATGCAGAACAGCCCTGAAGCAACAGTTTGCATTTAGAGGAAAAGAAACGCATCTCAAACATCTTGGCATTTTTACTCAGTGCTACTAAAAGACTCTGTATTTTATCTGCATCTTCACTAAACAGGACTATGTCATTTGTGTATTCTAAGTCGATAAGTGAACCTCCTGGAAGGAGATTAATTCCTAAAACTTCAGACGACGAGAAAGTTATTTCCAGCAATAGGTCCATGATGACATTTGACAGGAATAGAGATAGTGGACAGCCTCGTTGGGCACCACTTGATGTTACAAATTCAGATGACAGTTCTCCATAAGCTCTCACTCGACTGGTAGTGTTCGATTAAAGAGCCTTCACAAGGGTTATGTATTTCTGAAGTACATCTTTCAATGACAGACACTGACACAGAACATCTTGATCCACAGAGTCAAATACTACTTTTAACTAAAGAGAGACCACCATTGTCGGACGCTGATAAACATACCCATGTCCTCAAGTCTGGAAAATGGTGAATATGTGGTCACTGCAGCTACAACCAGGTCTGAAGTCATACTGATTTTCTCGTGTTTGCAGTTCACAAGTTTTTGATAGGCGTCTGATAATTATTGAGGCTAGTATTTTAGACGTTATATTCGTCAGACTAATCCCTCTGTAGTTACCACAGGATGATTTTGACCCCTTCTTATATACTGGGACGATTAGTGATTGCAACCAGTCAGGAGAGATTACGTTCAGTTCCCAGATTTTAGATAAAAATTAGTCAACTTAGTCGCTAAAACTGGACCATCATCCTTAAAGAGCTCTGGAGTTAATCCATCTGAAATACGATGGATCATTTGGAAGGCGTTGTTTATCTTCACTTGATTTCCTTTATCAGTTAATAAAGCTGTAGATCAATCTTAATTGTCGTTTGCTAAACCAAGCAGGATATCCTAGAGTCTGATGACGAATTTGCCTAATTTTCGGCCGGATATAAATGGCTTAAATCAGAATAGTTCGATCGTCTTATACATATCGGTAAGGCGAATTTGGAAATTCTATTTTTATTTCCAGGTGTGATGAGACGGTTGTAGAAAAGGGTTCATCGCTTGGCTGAACTAAACGTTTTTTCCCCGAGCTTTTCTGATCTGTTTTGTTATCATTTCACTAGTATAGTCATTTAAAAACTCCAGTTTTATGGGAGGTTATGTTTATGTTCTCTTAATTCCTTGTATCAAGTAAACAAGTATAGATCGTTTAATCAACCTTGATTATCTTTTACCAAAAGAAGCTTCTTGAATTCGCCTCATCTACGTTGGTTTACCAATCAAACTGCTCTTCTGAGGTTAGTTACATAGGTCGCACAACTGGACATGTTCGTTAACGAATATCCGAACATCGTCCTACTTGGCCTAACACGTTGTATTATATCTAATACGGAATTACGTTGGAATTCGACCCATCTTACTTACACGGCTGCATGAATGGTGTGATGAATTACGATCACTTGCAAGCCTCTCAATCATTAGATAGCTGAACATAATGAGGTCCAACAAGTTGAATTAGAATGGAGTTTTGTGAATTGTAAAAGATAGTTCAGAAGCAATTGAATCGAAATTAGTTGCTATTTAGATTCCGTTTCAATTACAAACGTCTTCATATTCCAATATTCATTAAATCTACAACATTAAAAATGATTTATAAATTTAACGGCATATACAGCGCAGAAAATATTAATTACAGACAAATGATAAATAATCTCTTACCATAACTCCAGTTACTGCATCAACACACTTGTCGTCTTGTGACTCCACATCTGATTTGCTATCAGCGAAACCATCTGATTCCCGGATCTCGAAATTACCAGACTCTCTAAAGTGAGAACCAACTGACCGTAGACTAACATCACCTAAAATAGAATTTTGATGCAACTTTAGTCTCCATTCTTGGCGTAGATGCATTAGTGCTTTATGGAAGGAGTTATGAGTACTATCAAACTGAGGAGGAACAATTGAATTCAATCGACGGACTCTAGCATCAATCAATTCACTATGTCTACGACGGAGACGCTCAGCACCTTTCATTAAGATATCAGCGGCAGCAGCGATAGACTACTCGTTTCAAAATAAATAAGGGAGGAATTTGATTAAACTAACTCGTTTTTTCCCAGATAGGTAAAGAGAAAGATTAGTTTCTTGCGAGTCATCAGCAACAGGATTAATAGCCAGATATTTTCCTTCTTTGATGATGGAAAGAACGTCAACCAAAGCATTGATTTCAATCAAGGTAGTACTAAAAACACTTAGATATACCTGATACGACATACCGTAGGGTCTCCTTAACATTTTCCCATATTTTTGGTGTAATGTTCTTTGGAAAAAACTCAGACTCTTTATTCTGAGAACAATTATCACTATAACTGCTGCTCTCGGAAAAATCGATGTGATTAATAATCCTCTGGAAGTTTGCAGCTGGAGTTAGTGGCCTGATTATTTTCAATTAATGGATACACTAAACATACTTTTCAAGAATTTCATGACCATCCAAGAGTATTTCACGAATATCATATTCAGAAAGCGCTTCAATAGGGATTGGATGTTGAGGATATGGAACAGGCATTGTTTCGATGATTATATTTCACGGAAAAATCCAATTGAGTATAAAGCTTTTTAAAGTATTTTTAACACGAGTTCAACTGTCAACTTCAGGTTTTTGATATGAAAAAGTAAAGACATAAAATGTACATTGTATAATATAATTATTTGCATGCATATATATATATTCAATCAGATAATTGTTTTGTACAAGGTTTACTGAATGGTTATTGCTCTCCAATATTTTGTAAAGACATTGTTTTAATTTTGCAGGCCTATTTTGTTATATAAGGAGACGTTGAATTGCCATTTCTACTGAAATTCGAAATATTTTTTATATTTGAACATCTAATTAAGTAGGATTTTATTATATTTTACAGATAACATTTAAAGATTCGATCTTAAGCGTTCATCCTACTTTGTGAACGTGTACTTTGAAGTGCTTAACTAGTCGCTTTGAGCATACTTTTTGTTTTGGCCGATATGTTTTACATTGATTATTGTCTCCAACAACTATATCACCACCTTAGTAGTTGGTATGTTGGAAGACCTACCTGGCTACGAGTGTATTGATCGACAGAAATAAATGTGGCTACATAGAATGGGACAATTTACTACCGCCAATTGCGAAGTATTCGTTTTACAGATGAAACTAAAATGGTACCTGTGCTAACTTAAATCGACAACATATTAGAGTGACCCCTTACTCTTCAACCAGTTGAATGCTGTTTCTGATAGCAGAAAATGTCTTATTTATGATGTACACAAAATTGGACACGGCCTTTACTTACCATTGTACACAAAAAAGTAGTATATTTAAACACAATTCACAATAAGGATTAGAGTCAGGCTGGATAACTTGCTTCTAGATAGTCGTTCTGAAATTATAATAAGGCCATAAAATATTGAATCAGAAAAAGTTATAAATGAAACAGATATCCACCAGTGACAGTGAATGATTATGAAGTAATTGGTCTATTTACTCTGCTTTATTACTAACTCAAAAGATAATTACTACCCATTTAATTAATGTATTTTTATCTTACCCTGGACCACTTTTCTATTATACTATGTTATCACCCCGCTTAGTTTCAAACTAATACGGTTCATTTACAGTAGAAATCTTCTGTCTAAACGAACTCACGTCACTGATTGGTCGAAAGTTTGGATGTTCTCACAGAGTATGAACTCCTAATCAGCTTTTCTGAAACTACATGTGTCATTCAAATTGATCTTCCTCAATTCTCAGACACTAATGCATATCGAAAACAGATAGGTCTAGCTATTTCTTTGGGAAATGGCAACATAGATGTTAGCTGTATATTCGAGACTATAGTGAAGTACTGGAAACTAGCTCTCCATCTATCGAATCGAAAATCTTGTTTTGCGAGTGCTTATCGGGGAACCTTGTAGCACCTTTATATGATTCGGCTGTCGTAGCAACTGCCACATAGTGCATTAATTACTGACGCTGGAACTGGTTAGAAAAACGGCAGGTGGTCAGTTTGTGATGTGGTACCGATATATGAAATGACGGTATATAGGACTCTTATCGGTTTATAACAACTCCTTGGTTGGGGTCCGGGAGAGAGAGTCACTCAGTGACTTGTAATGTCATCAGACATCGCTTACAATAGAAACCAATGGAAATCCCACCGTAACTTTCATTTACTTTCTTTGTAAAATAAGGAGGGACTTGTTTGACTGATAGGATTCTTTCGAGTTTCCTCCATAGTGTTTTACTCACGTTCTTTATTCGCTGTATATCGCCTCCTAATTTTATTCACTTATTTGTGTGGTGCACATTTATTTTGGTGTATATTTGTACTAACAAATAAGTAAAACACATCAATGAAACTGACTAGCGGTTGAAATAATTGCTATATTGACTGAAGTTGGGGCTGCCAACTTTGGGACTTACCCACGGTAAGACCGAAAAGTACTGGGGTTTATTTTGCAAGCAGATACAGACGAATCTAGACGATGTCAGAACAACTGTCCAGTGACATATAGTTTTCAATCACTTTCCTAGTTATCATTCCGTGATGTGAGTGATTATCAAATCGAACAAATAACTAGCAACACTAAACGCATAGAAGGCACATATTACAGAAAAGAGTAAAGCATTCTACAGACCACTAGTTTTAATCCCTTTAGTTTTCTGTATACACAGATAAAGGTATGTATTACGGAAAACATTCAAATCAGGAAGGTCTATAAGAAGGTAAAGTAACGTCAAACTACGAAAAACTCTCAAATGAAGATTTGAAGGTTAAATTATGGCTCCAGTTTATTACTTTATTCGTAATATATTTTCTGTCATTACTAATTTCTAATCAATTGAATACTGGAAATAGAAAAAGGAATAGAAGTCCATATATGTTTTCATGAAGATGATGAAAGCAAAGTAGACTAGCCTGTCGAAATATTTGTATGGAAACTTATAATGAAGTATTGAGTCCTTCCAATAGACTACATAATTATTTCATCTTTTCAAATGTTGACGAAACAGCATAAAAATCCAACATCAAAGATTGCCGTCGATAAATTCATTTCTTCTACATGGTTCAGAAAAAAATTAGTATCGTAAATTAGCGCCATCTTTCAGTCTTTTTCCATATTACCATCAGCTCTGATATCGTCCATTATTATTTACTTATTCAGACACGGACATTGGTACAAAGGGGGCACCAACTATATATGCACCATAATAAAAATGAGGTTGTGAGGAAATAGAGAAGGGAAAGTGAGTATAATAAGAAAGAACAACAATGAATAGAAATTAGTGTACGCGAATGAGATAGTAATAATAATAATGAGAGCAGTTCAGTTAGCAAAAAAACAACCAGAAAGAATTCTTTCGGTTAAAAACGTTACTTTCACTTCTGTAAAGTGAAAAAAAGTTATAGCAGGATCGTCACTGGCTTCTACTCTGAGCCATGTCTGATAAAGTCTCAAGCCACTGTGTTGCACCATCTCTAGGACTCCAACCATGGAGTTGTGAAAGACCAACAGAAGCCTGTCCTGTCCAGCTTCCTTACGTGCAACAACACCATGTCATGCACTGACGATCTCAGCACTTTTCCAAACAAGTCCCCAGTGTAGACAATTATTACACGGTGAGGGATTGGCCAGGATGGTATTCGTAACACATATCCGAGCAATCTGAGTCGGTGTTTCAAAATGGTGACACCAATTGAGTTAACATTGTTTTACCCGAATATACGTTGCCGTATCTCTGAGTTAATACAGCGTTGTCATTGAATGTCGGCAATCCCTCGGAGACAACGCTGATCAAACACAGTCTTCTGACATCCTCGACTCGAAGAGGTCAGGTTTCACAAGCATAGAGCAAAGCTGCCCTCACCGACGCCAGGTAGATCCAACCTTTTACGGCCAAACTAACATTATAAATGGACCAAATACAATCCAGACTGGCATAAGCAGCTTTGTCTTACAATGGTAGACTTGGCTTACTATGCGTAATACACAACCCATGTAAACCAAAACATAAATACTTTAATCTGTACACATATAGAAAGCTGACTATATGAAGTTATAGTTTCTTGGAATAGTTAACTAATAGTACTTACTGTTTATTGACATTGAACGATATTTTAGGAGAAATTCCTCCGAGAAGAGATGGCTTTTGAAAATTCGTCAATTAGCAGCTTTTTGGCAGCTAAATAAACCTGGAAGATAAAACAAGCTGCTTTTTTAATGTCTACACAGTGTTATCGATTAAATAAAAAACGGTGTTATTTATTTAATTATAACACAAAATGTGCTTCTAGAAACAGCACATAAAAGCAGAGTAACAACGTTGTGAAGAAACACAAGACCACATCGCAAAAAAGCAACAGGTGAAATCCTATATATGTCTGTGTAGGAGTAGAAATAGGTTGAGTCATAGGGTTTTTTTATCAACTCATATATTAATTAAATCACCATGAACATGGTTGTACAGCTTCAGTAAGTGACATCGTCGAAAAGAAAAACTTCCTTCTTACCTTTATTCTTTATTTGAAAAGACAATAAGTTTCTTAGGTTAATTAAAGAATTATCATAAAATACAGTCAAAATAACGAGTTACCAGGATGAGTCCTTTTTATTTCAAAGTTTATAAAAAAAAACCAAAATTGCATTAAGGTGGTTACGCTGAAGCATATGTGATAGCGACTCAACACATGATAACCTAGTACTTTGCCTAAGAAGTTATGTCTAGTTAACAAATCCCAAGCAGACATTTCTTTCTTCTATACACAAAAATGGCTGTTAATAACTTTTGATTTCATAATAAGGGATCAGTTATAGTACTCAAAAAAACACTGATCCCAATGAACCATGCTAGGATATCTGGGGATAAACATCGATTACACACGTATCTTAAACTAGGGGATGTGAAGGAAGTGTCAGGACTCTACTGCAGCATCGAATGAGTATCCAATCTGCAGAACATCCAAGACTACTTTTGTTTTTAGTTAGACAAACATCCTAACACATCTTCTGGAAAAATTTCATCTACGGTCATTTTAAAGTGGTGAGTGAAATTGCATTGACAAAATATACGTTGAGTTTTATTTATAGCACATGTAACTTGGAAAAATGAGGTTGTAGGCGCAACCAACTAGAAAGGTCTGGACAGAACATAAACATGCAGATTGATTGTCAATCAGTTTTCTGTAGCCTTTCATCAAAGAAGTTACTACTGCTGACACAATCATATTTACAATCTAGTCATCCGCAAATGTACAGTGGGACCGAATTCTCTATACTATTTTATTTACTAAACTTAACGGGTGTATGTCCTACATACATGTTGTACACGAGCACCTAAAGCTGACAAAAAGATTAATTATTGGACAACTAGGCCATCTGAATTGGTTTTTCCTTAGACTACCTGGTGGTAATATCTCTACCGATCTCTGAAAAGTGGTAATAAATGTTAAGACTGTAAAAAGAAATTTTCGAAGACATACAGTTACCAGATAGCATAAGAAAGACAAGTTTCAAGAAGATCAGAAATGGGTGCTTATAAACGCAGCAGTCTATTAATAATCCTTAGTACTAACGATAGCAGGACCTGGGGTTTTTTCAGTATAGATTAAGTGTCTCATTAAAACAAATGTTTTGGACTGGTCATTAGGGATAAAACCGTTGAAAAATTTGAAAAAGCATAGACTGGTCGTTCACGCTTTCATGTTTGCTTTTAGCAACTACCAAAGTCCTCAACTGGATCGTCACACAATCATCATAGTAAGCCACATAGCGTTTCATTATTGCTACTCAAGACTAGGAATTATTTATAACTCAATCATGGTGTATTTGCAAACAAAACTTCATATTACTTGTATCAGTTCTAATTTCTAGTACACAATTTATACAATATCTTCGCAAGCGTAAACAATCGAACGTGTTATTCTCCCACTTTGATTTTAAAGGATATCTACGAGTTATTATTAGCGTCTAGTTAGGGTCTAACAGCCAACGATAACTAAGAAGAGTCATTCAATAGTCTGCGACTGGAATAAAAACAAATAAATATGGTTATATGCTCATTTATCTTGCGCATAAACTATATTTTCTGCTTACGAACTCCTAAATTATGAGGTTGTATTTCTGTTGACCAAGGTTACTTGTGATACAGTTGCATCCAGTAGTTACACTACCTCAAGGCTCCTGGATAGCAATGGTAGACAGACAAGGCTATTAGATTTAGAACTAATGAACTTAGGATTAGTTCCACTAAAATCTCTAACTACGAGGAAAGGGGTGAATGCACTTGCGATGGAAAGTATGAAGGGTCAATTATTAAAACTATTATTATTTATTTAAGCACATAAACATAGGTAAAAGAAGGCGCTAAATAGATATGCGCCACATAAATCATCCGACTTTTGTGAGGGCTAGGATAATGCCCGGGTGTCCAGACCGAAGCAGGTGGTTTTCTTAGGAGGCCACACCCTGAGACTTTGACCTAAAGATCTAATCTACAAGACAGTGGAGCAACGTAGAGAGGTGCAGTCCCATGGTAGTCGGTGACCAACGACTGGTCCATACGCCAATTGTTCCCTTAGGATAGTGGAGCCCATGTGCACAACTGGTTTGGAATCAGGGTTTCCTAACTCCCCTAGGTGGATCAGTCGTCCGTATACACCAACACGGTTGAAGAACCGGACATTCACTCTTCGTCCTTTCAATTTCGTAAACAAAACCCTCGCCGCGAGAAGGCAGTGAGCAGTACTTCCCTGGGAGTATGCACGTGACCATGTGAGAGCATCTCGAAAGGGAGAGTTGACTCTCCCCACTCTCGACCGTACCAGGGCATTTCGGGGCAGAGAAAGCTGTTTCCATCATAAAGCTATTATGATATAATTTACCACATTTGACTACCGGTATTCGATTTTTTTTAAGAACTTATGAATACATAAAATTAAAGCTTATTAGCAGAGACATTTACTACCATATTATGTTACAAACCAGTCTGCTAAGAAATACCAAACTATAGTTATCCCTTTTTAGCTTTGGCTGCATACATTTGCAAACAAGCCTAGGTAGGCTGTCGTTGTACAAGAGTTCCAATTAACAACTATGGTCTACGTTAGGTCGCATGACACTGCTTAAAATTAGCGAAGCATTCTCGAAAATAACCTGCTGAGCTCAATGAGCTTCAGCTAGATGTTATTCCTGAGGGAAAAGGTGGAGGACATTGGGTCTTAAACTATTAAATGTAACTATGAAATCGGTTGCCGTAATGTGTGGAGCACTTGGTTATGTTTAATTTAGTTACATACTTAATTACGCCGAGACTTCAGGTTACGATAGGTAAATTGTAATAAGGCATCATTTCTACTGTAGAATCTCTTCCAAGTGGCGAATACACCCTATGGAGTGATGAGAGGCCTTTATAGCAGAATCAAGCCATTCATCATCATAGAACCCAAATTACTCAATATATTCCAGTTTCTCCTTAAATGTTATAAATTTGATATGCGTAGATGTCGTTGGTAATTTAATTACTTTATGACAAGATATATCACGTATGTAATTTATAAATATGAATAAAACCGTTATAGTGACTATCAAAAATCCTTTCATTGCTATGTTAAGAACACTTTTTGACGTATGCTGGATGATGTTTCAGATCGAAAAACAACCATATGTAGACTACTGTTTTTGGATCACACACTACTTAAAAATGATTTGACAGTCTTTGTTCTGCCTTCAGAACTTAAAAAATTCAGTTTAGATATTCTTACCCTAAATTGTGCCGAATTTCGTTTAAATTTGTTGACAAGATCTTCAACAGATTTCTTTTGAAATATAAATGATATTAAGGTGCTCAACACTTAGTTAACATACATTTACTAAAGCATGTTAACAATGACTCCCGACTAAATTGTTCTATAGATTCATACTATCCATTTCGTTTTGAGTCTTATGCTGGAAATAAAAAACGGTAGTAGATACGCTGTATCCAAACAAGCTTTTCAGCGCTATACTAAAAAAATCATCCCTTAGTTGGCCACAAAACAGTCATCAAGTTGTTAGTAAGAAGACTAGTTAACTACGATCCTAATTAGGATCGTTAAAACATACTGGCACACTAATTGTGACCTATTTGAGCACTATGATGCAGTAAAATTTAAATTTTTCTACGTTGACTCCTTGTCGCGGCTTTGTTATTCGATCTTGGTTAAAGACTTACCTCCTATTACTTATTTTGCCGTTGCAGGTTGCCCGACCATCGACAACAAGGTCATGTTTGACTAAACCCAAGGTCAAATTGTTCAGATGGTTCAAATGGTTGTGGACGGAATAGAAGAAGCCTTCGCCTAACAGGCTTCCGTGTCTAGTAACAGGAGATCACCAAATCCTCCAGGCAGGAACCTAGGTATGTTAACAATAAAACAGAAAAAGAAATTGATAAATCATAGTGCGGTACTATTCTTAGTCCTTAAGAATAGATCAAGTTGCCTCTTAAAGGACTCCTGAGAAGTCGTTTGGACTAGCTCGGCTGGCAGCGAATTCCAGCATTTGACAACTCTTACGCAGTTGAAGTTGTGTCTACATTCCGTTCTACTATGTTGTGTCCCTAGGTTTTGGGTGTTACCCTTTAGGTTAGTGTTGGAACTAAGCTTAAGTAGGCGTTTAAGAGTATGTCCAGATTTGTTAAAGATACTATAAGCCATCAGAAGGTCACCTCTAAGACGTATATACTCTAATGAGTAAAAATTAATTGAATAGAGGCGCTCTTCAAAAGGTTAAAATTTGAGTAGTCGAACTGATTTCGTGGCTCGCCGTTGAATACGCTCCAGGGTGTCCTTATCCTTTTGGAGTGAGGGGGGAAATACTATGTTTCCGTACTCTAAATGTGGACGGATAAAACTATCGAAGATTGTATAGAAATTTATTCCGTCAAACTGGCCAAAAATGCGCTTCAACGTTACCAGTGCAAGGTTTGTTTGACAGGCATTTTCGTCACAGTTAACGTAAGACTTTAAATCGTAGGGCACCAGGACTCCTAAATCTTTTTCGACTTGAGATACTACTGGAGGGGGGTTATTTAAGTTATAACTGTAGTCTGCGACATGTCGCAGATGGACTACTTTACACTTTGAAGTGTTGAAGGTAAGTCCGTTATCGTCTGCCCAACTTTGAAGTCGAGTCACATCCTACTGAAGTGCCCGTATATTGTCTTGGTTGCGTATCTCTCTTCAAAGTTTCACGTCATCGGCAAAAAGTAATAAATCTGACAATGCCCGTTGAGGAAGATCATTTATATAAATCAATGAGAGAAGAGGTTCTAGTACTGAGCCCTGGGGGAACCCGATAGGACACTCCATAGCCTGAGGTAAAATGAAGTTGACCTTTACCTTAAAATGTCAATTTTTCAGATAGGAAGTGAGCCAATCACTCAGAGGTGGTCTGATACACAATCGTTTAAGCTTATTGATAAGACATGTATAGCTGACATTATCAAAAGCTTTTAAGAAATCAAAGTAAATGATATCAACCTTCCCCTTGAGATTGAGGATGCCTGTCCATCTGTCCACCGCAGTCAGCGGGTTGGTTTTACAAGAGTGACCCTTCCTGAAACCATACTGTTGGAGTGACAAGAAATTTAAGGACAGTAAATAGTCGTTTATACCATCACATATCAGGGACTCCATGATTTTTGATGGTATGGAGAGAAGAGCCACCGGTCGGTAACTTGAAGGTTCGCTGTGTCGACCTTCTTTGAAAATTGGTGTGATGTGAGCCAGCTTTCAATTTTCCGGTAGTTTCCCTTGACTTAACGAGTGTGAGAACATCATGCCAAGCGGCGTTGCCAAGGTTGAAGCTGCTTCCTTCAGTATGGCGGAATGGACCATGTCCGGGCCAGAAGAAGTGTCTAATCTTTAGTGCTGCAGTTTCCGGAACCCCAAGTCAGCGCTTAGGTTCACTTCGGAAAGTCCTGTGGAATTGCAACCGAAACTGTCATCAGTAAAGTCAATGTCGGTCGGTTGAAATGTCTGGGAGTATTGTTCAGACAGAAGGTTAGCGGCGTCGCCATCGTTGTTGGTCCGGCCGTTAAGACCTAGCAGTTCGGAAACTCCAGTTTTGGCTTGACGAAGAGAGGATGCATAACGGAATAAGCTTTTAGGATTAGAGGCAAGTTTGTTCATAAGCTTTGTCTGGTACTGAAGTCTGTCTTCTCTTATAGCCTTCGTGCATATATTCCTGATATGTTTATATTGCCTGTACGCTCCGTCGTTGTCAGTTCGTTTGTATTCCGCCCAACAGTGCCTTTTACGGCTTAGCAGGAGAAGGGTACGGTTCTTGATTATTGTAGGTGGATTGTGGCTTTTGGGAACCGTTTGAGTAACTGAATGGTTTGTAGCACGTTAGAGCGTGTGCAGTAAGAAGTCCCAATGCCCGTCCACGTCAAGTTGGGGATGAACATCTCAAACCACCTTTTGTAAATAGTTGTGTAGAGCTGGCACGTTCAACCGTTTAAAATTCCAACGCAAGTTATTGGTGGGGTATCTTAGCTCAGTTTTGCTGACAAAACTGAAGGCTATGACGGCATGATCACTTTTTCCCAGGGGAGCCAAGATTGAGAGGTTGTCAACTAGAAATTCTTCGTTTGTGAATACACAGTCTAAGCGCGATGGCGTCTGACTGTTTCTCCAACGAGTTGCCGACCTCACATTTTCGTACAATCCCAAATCATCGATAAGGTTGAAGAACCGAGCTTCAACTGAGTTGTCGCCTCCAGTATACGTGTGTTCCGCGAAGTTGACTCTAGGGAGAATAATGTCCCCTAGAATCAAAATGTGTGGGAACCCGAGACGAGTAGAGTGGGATAGTCCTTCCAGCATACGACTATCTTACTAGATGTCGGCAGTTGGCTTCCTGTGAATGACTCCGACTAGACACCTTGAAGTACTTGACAATCTTACAGAGCACCATATAGATTCCTCAAGATTGTTGAACTCGAGGTTATGAACTTGATGCACCTCCAAGCAAGAACGTATATAAACAGCTACTCAGCCCCCATATCCTGATTTTCTGTCATTGCGGAACAAAGACATTCCAGGTCATGCTAACTCATGGTCCGAGAATTGAGAAGATATCCAGATTTCAGATATTCCTATCAGTTTTGGACGGAATAGAGGAAGCTTTCGGTTAACGGGCTTCTATATCTAGTATTGGTGGATCACTAATACGTCCAGATAGAAACCTATGAATATTATCAATAAAATATGTAAATAAAAAAGATTGGTTCAAATGCTTCAAACGGTTATGGACGGAATAGAAGAAGCTTTCACTTAATGGGCTTCCGTGTCTTAATGGAGTGGATCATCAACACCTCCAGCCAGGAACCTCCTGGGTAAACTCCCCAATCAACTTCACTAGCTCATTTGATACATCTCCCACTAAATCTAGCTATCAAAATACCGAGCTAATGAAGAACATTCAATCCATCATTTCAAACTCATCTCACACCCGCGAGGGTTACGACGACTTTATCCGAGATACCCTCAACCATTTTAACTTAGTAGGCCACTTGCTTAATATATGTCTTATCAACGCTCGGTCGATCTGCAACAAAAAGACGGATTTAGCCCTGTTTGTATCCATATATCAACCATCAGTTATTATGATATCTGAAGCATGGACTAACAGTAATATTTCCGACCAAAGTATATCTTTTGATAACTATTTCCTGTATAGAAGTGACAGATTGAATGGACGAGGCGGAGGATGCCTTATTTACGCTCACTCTAGCCTAAACTCACTACTATGTGATATGCCTGAACTAAACAAACTGAAGGATTCGGTGTGGATTGTATTAAAGCTGTCGAATTCCGTTACCTTACTGCTCGGCTGTGTTTATCGTCAACCTAACGCATCAATAGATGATATAGCAGTATTATCGGAGGTATTCACACTAGCATCATCCCTCTCATTCACAGGCAAGCTCATTTGTGGTGACTTCAATATGCCCGAAATTTCTTGGCTGCCAGTCAAAGCGCCGAGACGTTATGAATCATTTATTGAATGTCTAGAGCTCGGACAATGGACTCAGTATGTCGATAGCCCTACCAGACATCAAAACATCTTGGACTTAGTCTTTACCAGTGGCCTCATCCCCAATACTTTGTATATTGGAAAAAAGTTCCCAGGTAGTGATCATAACATTGTCATATGCAGCTTTAATGTAAAAACCACAACCAATAGAAGCAAAACCGTAACACTTCGTAGAAACTATCGCAAGGTTGATTGGAATAACTTCCACAATTACCTAAGAAGCACTGATTGGGGAACTTTCTTTACCTCAAACAATACCGACACATTAACCAATATATTTTATCACAACATCAAAAGTATCATCAACAACATCGCACCTTTAGAATACAGTAAACCTGCGTTCTCCAAAGATCTCTATATACCGGTCAGTACAAGAAGACGTCTTCAAAGACATTGTACTCAATTCCACAACTTAAATGACTTTTCCTCTTTAGTAACGATGACAGAAATACTTGTCCGAACAGAGGCAATAAGTAAACAAAAAGCAGTAGCACAGGAAAAACGTGCAGTTGAACTTAATGATAACTCCTCTGCACTCACCATACTACTCCAAAATAAACTTAAACGCTCTAAATCGAGAGGGAGTATATTCATTAAAGGCAAACAAGTATACGAAGATCCTAAACTTGTCACAGAATTATTTAGTGAACATTTTTGTTTCTCACTAACTAACGAAAAACCATTTAATGATTCAGAACCAATTCCAGTACCTCCCTGTGAAATTACTAATGTAGAATTCAGTGTACAAAATATTTCCAAGGCAATCAGTACATTGAAACACTCATACACTGATGGACCAGATGGTATTCCATCTAGCATGCTAAAACGTGGAGGTGATGATATGTGTGTTTTGCTTCTCAAACTATTCGCGATATCACTCTCTTCAGCGTGTTACCCCACTGCCTGGAAAACTACACATATCATTCCCAAAATTAAAACAGGACCTGAAGCAAACGTTGAAAATTACCGGCCTATAAACATAACTTCAGTGGTATCCAGAGTGATGGAAAAAGTAGTTAAGGCGGCTGTAGTCCAACATCTAATAACTAATAATCTCATCTCGACCTCCCAGCATGGATTTCTCAGGTCCAGATCATGCGATACATGCCTAGTAGACTACCTGAATGATATAACTATGAAACGAGACAGCGGACTCCTTGTATCAGTTCTATTCCTAGACTTTAAGAAAGCCTTTGATAAGGTCCCACACA